ATCATCATCGACCTCTCGGTGACCGGCTTGGTCAACAACGCCGTTCAAGTAAGAATTGCCACAGAAAGGAAGTCTGCTCAATCCTTGCCAACATGCAACCATTCAGCTCCCGTCCCTCATATATTCACTCCGTGATTTGCACCAACCGGCTGATGGTTCAGAGCTACCTTTCTCGGGCTGAGCGTAAGGATTAGGCACATAGCAACAACACCATGTAAGCTTCATTATTTTAAGGGGGGGGGGGACAAAGCGTTGAATGGGTAAATTTATTGGGCGTCTCAATAGGACTCGGGGACTCAGTTTTTAATTGAATCAGTGTCGAATCATTGCGTCAGGGCTGGTCGGAATGACAAATTATGTTGCGCGATTGAAAGGTTTGTTGCGCGGGTGTATGGATTTGGGTAACAGATAGCGCGATGTTATTTTTGTTTTGGAACAAAATCGAAGCGAGGGTGCGTCTGGTAAATGCGACATTTATTTAACGGGCGTGAATACCTAGCCAAAACTGAGCGCGTACGAGGAAACATCGAAATGGACCACCTCTTGACAATTTGTCTTATACTCCGATCTCTCTCGCTCTCTCTCTCTCTCTCTCTCTCTCTCTCTCTCTCTCTCTCTCTCTCTCTCTCTCTCTCTCTCTCTCTCTCTCTCTCTCTCTCTCTCTGTCTCTCTCTCTCTCTCTCTCTCTCTCTCTCTCTCTCTCTCGCTCTCTCTCTCTCCCTCTCTCTCTATCTCCCACTCTCGCTCCCGCTCTCCCCTCTCTCTCTCCCTCTCTCTCTCTTTCTCTCTCTCTCTCTCTCTCTCTCTCTCTCTCTCTCTCTCTCTCTCTCTCTCCTCTCTCTCTCTCTCTCTCTCCCTCTCTAGATTGTATTCACTATCTTGCCCCAATGATTGTGCCATATATCGACGCGACTAGCCTAAATCATACTACAACACAGTAAGTCAGAGACCTAGACAATTCAACTAGCCGGAGAGAGGCTGGTTCGAGCCAGGCCCCTGTGCCTGTTTTGACTCTGCTGACGCCGTCGATCACTGCGAGATGGGAAATGAGTATTCCGTGACTCGATGAATTCTACTGCGTATTCCCGTGAAGTATAGCAAAGGCACCGAGCGGCTAGCCGTCCGTGTCGACCGGACTTTGAAGGGCTAGGGCTAATATGTAAGAGTGTAAGAGCGATGAACGAGGGCAAGGTTGCCGAGTTATAGTTTCGCGGAGTGGCTCCGCCGAGGTGTTCAGTAGAAACACAGTTATAGTTTCGCGGAGCGGCTCCGCCGAGAGTATAAACATTTAGGAACTTATCCCTCAACTGAAGCACAACCGGACCACCCACAACACCGAGTCGGCAGACCGGCAGAGGTGCGTACAACCGTTGTTTCCTTTGAGCATGGGCGAAATTATCCGCACTGTGGCAGTGCGCGCGCGAGAGATAGAGGTGGTCGATGGAAATGTAGAGTCGTTATGCGGAGTGGCTCCGCCGAGAGTATTATCATTTAGGAACCTATCCCTCAACTGAGGCACAACCGGACCACCCACAACACCGAGTCGACAGACCGGCAGAGGTGCGTACAACCGTTGTTTCCTTTGAGCTTGGGCGAAATTATCCGCACGGTGGCAGTGCGCGCAAGCGAGAGAGAGGTAGTCGATGGAAATGTATGCACTGTGGCAGTGCACGTGATTGAAGAGCAGGCAGTGGCCGGGAGCGCGTGAGAAACGTAGCTTCAATGGAAGAGAGTAATAACGTAAATGGGGTCAGAAGGACACCCAGTGCCAATTTGCTTAGGATTCAGGGATTTAAAGGGGTTAACACCTCCTTATACGCACATAAGTATCAAACAGGGCATAAACTCACCTCGGGATATAGGGGAGAGCGGGGCCAGTTGAACCACTTTTTATATATTGACATGCACAGCGAGATCTAGTTGTCATATCGAAAAATGCACAATGCCATGAAAAAATATGCTCTTTTGCTTTATTTTAAGATATGTAAAATTATGTTTCAAACATATTTTGCTGCCAAACGCATGCTTATAAAACAGCTCTACGCCCGTTTCAAATGACCCCGATGCGAGGGTCAATTGAACCAGCCCATGGGGTCAATTGCACCTATCCTTAACAATGGGATGTTTTCCTCTATAAGGCCACTTTCTTAAGGAGATATTTTGTCCGGTTTACTTTTCCAAATGCTACATTCAATAGGTCGTTGGAAAGCTAAAAGTGCAAAGTTCCTCATAATAGGTGACATAAAGTACATAGACTATGGTAAAATGGGCGGATGAGAAAAATGAAAAATATCTCAGGCTATAGTGTGCTTTCAAGCAAAAGGCTGGAGAAAAGGGGTAAAAAAGTGAGCTCTATTAAAGTACTATTTCAGTTTAAAAGCTCATTTCAAAGGTAGACTATTTCCTTTAATGTTTACAGTCCCTGAACAATAACCATTGCAAAGGTCACCGGGGTCCATTGAAACGGCCTGTGGCCCTGTTTCAACTGACCCTCAGAGAAGCGTTTCAATTGCCCCCATCCGCTCCCGCCATCTCGCACGCGCCGTAAAGCACATGTCAAACGAGCTGGAGGGACGGCATCATGCTGAATGAAGGGCCAAATAAGGTGTTATTCCGGAGCCAGGAGTTCTTCTTTCAGCAAACAAAGGTATATGAGATATCACAAAATATTCATAAAAACGATTTCTCCCAAACGCCCCTCAAAAACACAAAAACAAGTGTCAAATCAAAACTAAAGTCCGTTTGCCGCCCAAACGCCGTTGACAAAGGAAGTGGTCGAGCGCGGATGCGCAGTGGTGTCGGCAACGCCATATGTTGCATATTGTTGAAAATAAAGCCATGTTTCATCTGACCCCGTGTTTCAACTGGCCCCGCTCTCCCCTAACTATGCCAATTCAGCGCCACTGGGGGGATTAGATGGAAACGGGAGGGTCGGTTTGTCTAGCCGAATGTTCTTCATAGGTGTATGTATGCATGACCGAATCAATGACGCGTGTGCGACCGAAAGGGAATAATGAATGGCTATGTTAAGGACCAGTGGGAGCTAGACACTCACGCTCGAATTGCATAAATTTCTCTGATGGGATAGAGCCCTTGGCATCGAACGGATACGAAATGGGAACATGGGAAGGCCTTGCCCTGGGGTTTAAAGCCAAGCAATTCCATCAGCCGGTGACAAATCCCATCCCTTCCAAATTGAACCTATTCCTCCCCGAGCAGTGAAGGCTATATGTTGTAAGGAAATTGCAAGCCTCTCAAATAAATTTGTACTGCACGACGGCGGAGCTGGTGCCACGTGGGAATCGGACAGGCGTTAAAGAGGAGACGGTCCACCTGCCCACCCAGTGTCGTCTTCCGAGGCGGACGATTCACAGCGTAACAGCCACACGTCACTCACACGGCACATGTGCACCGCCATGCCGCCCAGCAGCACCGTTACAGTTGCATCAATTATTATGACAGGCATTACGTAACATACTACATAAAAGACGATTTGTTATGCATTCCGCAGCAAAAGCTGAAATTACACTTGTTAAAATGATCATATACCTTTTAAAATAAATACATACTGCTGGTTGTTGCGTGCTTGTCATTATCAGGTCAGTCTTTTAACCCTCGCCAGGCGAGAGCCTTTTTCATATCACGGACGGCGAGGGGGTTGGTACGACCTCTGGCGGTTGGCTCCTATGGCACTTAGAAACGCCAAATTTACAGAGTAGGTGGGCCCATAGAAGATTTCGCGGCTGTGAATATTTGGTGACTCTAAGTCAATATTTAGGAGGGTTTTGGGTGTCTAAGTGCAAAAATTTCGCAAAAACATGTCAAAAGTTTTTTTTTTCAGTATAACTTTTTAAGTAGTAAAGATAGAGCAAAAATAAAAGCACCAGTGAGCTCAGCACGTCCGTGGGCATCGAATGATATACTTTGTTACCAATTTAAGTGAACTTAAAGTTTTCTTTAAATTAGGTGAACTTAAAGCAGTTAATTAAGTTTACGTTAATCAAAATGCATCCTATTGCATATCATTCGAATCGCCTGATCACAATGAACACAATGACACTATTTTTCAAGCTCTAGCCTCATTGTGTAACAAGTTATTAGCAAAAACGTCGTTTGACCTTAGTTGACCTCAGTGGACCCGACCCAAGCGTTCTTGTTGCTTGCAAACACCATTTAGATGTAAATAAAGGTAGTACAGCACAAAAAAACATTAAAATAGAGCACACACACATAGGGGCCACTGGCTGACGCAGTGGGCCCTTGGCGACGCAAAGGCCCCTGCGGCAGATCCTTTGACACAGCTGAGTAGTTATACTTTGGCCAAGAGAGCCCCAACTTTAGAGCCTTGGGCCCCATTGAAACCAGGGGGCCAATTGGATGGGATGGGTCCATCTTGGGGTCCAACGGTGTGTAAACAGAATCAATGCGTTCCGACTGTTGGTCTGACACTATATCGGTTTGAGGGAGCTCGGATCGGATCCACTGTCGATCTGAGGGGGCCCTATCGGTTTGAGGAGGCTGTTGTGATTAGTAGCCTCTTACCTTTTTTTACCTTCACCCGTGACCCGTGTTGATGTACCCTACCTTTCCTCACCCAGTAAAACTTTCCTCTATTTGCCCGCCCCTGTCCTGAATCCATCACTTTTTGTTAGTGATGTAATGCTTCCATTTTTCACCGAGCCGATTTCGTTTTGTTTTTATCCTTTCCAGTCAGTCTGGATCCATCTGTCGCCGTGTTACCGCTACCTGTAAAGTAATAAACCGGCAGAGAAGTTGACGTTGGAATTTCAAGTTGCTAACCAGAGGAATCGGCCTGTAATTTTAGCGTATCTACTACATAGTCCTCCGCGGCCGGATGACTGTTTTTTCAGTCATTTGCTTCTTTGTTCTTTGCTGATTGCTTTGAAGATTTGCGCTGTGATTTGACATCAAGATGCCTGACAAGATGAGTGAGGAAGTGGAGGTGTTGGTGAAGGACAGAACTCTGCTTAGAGGTAAGGCCACAAAGCTGACCCGTGACTTGAAAGACTACAGGGCAGGAGTAGTCGATCAAGATGACTTGGCGTACAAAATTCATGTTTTGGAGCAGCTAGAGCAGAAGATGGTTTCTTTGCAGGATGTTCTGACTGTCAAGGGAGTGTTTGACGAGAGTTCACATTTAGATGGCATCAGGGAGGAGGTTTTCAAGGCAAAACGTCATCTGTCAAGGATTGAGAATGTGTCTGCTCAACCAGCCCCAGCTCAGTCTGACTCTACTGACCTGAGGGCATCTGATGTAAAGATTCCAGTATTTTCTGGAGATCTGTTACAGTGGTCAGAATTCTGGGACCTGTTTGAGGTTGCTGTGCACACCAATTCAAGGTATGTGAATGTACAGAAGTTCAGCATACTAAAGAGCCACCTCTCTGGTTTAGCACTGCAATGTGTTAAAGGTATACCAGTGTCTGATGCTTGCTACCAGTCAGCTGTGGATGCATTGAAAGACCGATTCTGTAAAATCGAGAGAGTGAGGGAGGAGATCATGAAAAGGTTGTTGAACATGCCCAGTGTCAGTGACGACCTATCTGCCATGAGATCCTTCATAGACCATCTGATGTCACATGTGAGGACACTGACCGCGATGGGAGTAAGCTGTGCTAACCTGTCGAGCCTGCTTCTTCCCATAGCCAAGGGAAAGCTGCCAGAGTCGTGGAGGCTCGAATGGGCGCGCCAGCACCAGCCGGATCCAGGGTTGGAGGACTTCCTCGGGTTTCTTCGCAAGGAGATGGACATGAGGGAGGAAGCCAACATCGGCGCCAGGCATCCTGTCCCTCCGGAACGGAGCCCACTGCACTCAGTGAGTATGCTGGCGGTGAGTCGGAACCGAACAACCCCTGCCAGTGCTGCATGGACCTGCGTGGCTTGCAAAAAGGATAAACATGGCCTGAGCAAGTGTCTTGACTATCAGAGAATGTCTGTTGATGATAGATGGCTTGTAGTGAGGAGGGCTGGTTTGTGCTATCAGTGCCTGGGGCCGCACTTTGCTCGTGACTGCCGCAGCTCCAACTGCCGTGTGTGTGGAGAGCGACACCACACCAGCCTCCACAGTGAGCCAGGACGCCAGCCCGGAGCTGGTACCCGTGACCGACGGCCGCCCGCACACCGAGCGGACAGCCGTCCCCAGCAACTGCCTCCCTGCCGCGAGGGGAGCTACCTACCAGATCTGCCACCGCCAACGCCAGTTGGTCAGCAACCTCAACGTCCAGGTTGGTCGCCCGCTGTTCCCCGCCAGGCCATGAATGTCACCGCTGCTTGCGCTGTTGATGTGCCACAGCCAGTCTTACCAACGCCAGTCTCACCACAGCCGCTAGTGCCATCATCCAGCACTACCGCTAGGGTGAATACCGCTTGTGCTATGCCCGACGTGCATATGACGCCGTGTGCTGTCGCTCACTGCTCACCTGATGCTTGCCCGCTGGAGGCTGCTCCGTCTGACCGACCTGCTGCATGCGAAAACTTGTGTTACATGCAGACAGCTCTGGTGGAGGCGTCTGGACCGCGGGGTACCTGCCAGCTTCGCGTTCTTCTCGACGGCGGCTCGGACTCGTCGTACGTGAGGACATCTGCAGCGGAGCTACTCGGTCTGCCCACGGTGGGGAGAGGTGTGTTCGCCTGCCTGGGCTTCCAGGAGCGGCTCGAGGAGCCGAGGATGTATGAGAAGGTGAGGCTGTCTCTGCGGAGCCGTCACGGTGGGGAGCCTCACGTCTTCGATCTGTGGAAGACTGATCGTCTCTGTTCCCAACTGACCCCCGCCCGACCGCCTACTGCCGTATTTACACCGCATCTTCTGCTTGCTGATGATTTTGAGGGTGGGCCGGTGGACGTGTTGATCGGCGCCGACCTGATGTACAGAGTTGTGTTGTGGGAGCAGGTGAAGCTGACTGACCATCTCAGGGCCCTGGAGACTGTGTTCGGCTACGTCCTGCACGGCCGAGATGGGTCACCGGTGGACTGCGAGCCGGTGGACTGCGCGTCTGTGAAGTACGCGCTCCGTTGCTGCCGGCTTCCGTCGCCAGACTTCAAGCCGGAGCAGCTCTGGAGTCTGGAGGCGCTCGGCATCTCCGGGGACGAGGACGAGAGATCACCGATGAAGCCGAAGTGGAGTGACGCCGAACAGAGGTACGAAATGAACCTGCTGTGGAAGTCTGATGATCGCCCCCTCTCTAACCTCAGCTCAGCAGCAGCCCGGATCAGACGCATGGAGGGACGGCTCACAGTCCCCGAGCGGGAAGCGTACCAGAGACACCTGGAAGATCTGTATAGAGCCGGCGTGATCGAGACGCCGCCCAACGATGACCTACAAGGGTTCTACCTGCCGCACCGCGGCATCTGGCGCGGTGGAAAGCTGCGGGTGGTCTTCGACGGCTCTGCCCGGGACGCCACTGGCCACAGCCTGAATGACTACCTGGAGCCGGGAAGCAATCTGCTCAGACGTCTGCCTGCCGTGCTGCTCAACTTCAGACGAGACGCCGTGGGAGCTCAGACAGACATACGTGCTGCCTTTCACCAGGTTTCGGTGTCCGAGGAGGACCGAAAGTACCTACAGTTTCTGTGGGACGGACAGCGTCTTCGTTTCCGCAGAGTTCCGTTCGGTATAACATGTTCCCCATTCATGCTGCTGCAAACTATCTCTGTTCACCTGGACCTGTACTGTGGGGAGGAGCCGGGTCTGTGTGAGAAGTTGCAATGTGGCCTGTACATGGATGATGTGTGCACCTCCTTCTGCAGCAGAGCCGAAGCTGAGTCGAGCATGTCGCGGGCGGAGGAGATCTTCCGCGACGCAGGCATGGAGTTGCACAAGCGGCGCATCTCCGGTGACGCTGACAGCGAGGCCAACGTTCTGGGTCTTCTGTGGAACCCCGCCACGGACCTGCTCGCAGTGAGTGTGCCTGGCTTCCATGTGGCCAAGACCAGGAGAGAGATGCTGTCCCTGCTGAGTAAGCCGTTTGATCCGCTCGGTGTACTCTCTCCGTGGCTTGTTGTCGGCAGGTCTCTGTTCCAGAGAACGTGGGGAGTCGGATGCACGGTCAGCTGGGATGAGGAGCTGCCCCCACAGCTACAGGAGGAGCTAGCAGAATGGCTCACAGACGCACCAGACCGAACTGTATGGTTCCCCCGCGCGCTGCTGACGAATGACTGTGACGTCACCTACCATGTCTTTTGTGATGCCTCAAAGAAAGCGTATTGTTGTGTCATCTACGCTGTGCAGGGTGGGGAGTCCAGGCTGCTCATGTCCAAATCTCGTCTCGCGCCCCTGACTCCCGCCCTCAGCGTGCCCAGACTTGAACTGATGGGTGCCCTCATCGGCGCCAGGCTGATGGACTTTGTCAGACAGGCGTTGAGTCTGGAGAGCCCACAAGTCGTCTATTGGACCGACTCCATGGACGTCATCTTCTGGCTGAAGAGCAAGAAGAAGCTGAAGCTGTTCGTGCAGAACAGAGTGACCACCATCCTCCAGTTGACTCAAGCGGAGCAATGGCACCACGTAAGAGGACAAGACAACCCGGCCGACCTGGGGACGAGAGGTATGTCCATGACCGCTCTGGAGAAGTGTGATCTGTGGTGGCGAGGACCGACATTTCTCCGACAGGGACCTGATACCAGGATCTGCTGTGGACCGACAGTCGAGGCCGACAGTCTGCAGCCGTCTCAGGAGGCCACCAGTGAAGTGAAGCTGCAGAAGCCCCCGTTAAAGCTGACCCTGCTGACGACGCGAAGTGACACAAGTGAGACCCTACCGTTTGACATTACGTCATGTTCTACCCTCACACAGGCTGTGCTGAGGCTCGCGTGGGTGTTCCGTTTCGTCACCAACAGCCGCCTACCGAGGGAGGAGCGCCGGACGGGTCCGCTGACGCCCGAGGAGAAGAGACTGAGCCTCCGCTTCTGGATCAGAGAGGCACAGGCCCGTGCCTACAGAGAGGAGACCAACGCCGTACGTGCCGGTAGGCTGCTGCCGGCCGGCTCACCGCTTCAAAAGCTGCATCCACAGCTAAGTGACGATGGCGTGCTGGAGGCGACGCTGCGCAGTGGGGAGCGGGCTGTGCCTGTGCTGCCCGATCTGGCCCATGTCACCACTCTGATTGTCGATGACGCGCACCGCCTCTGCTTCCACCAGGGGACGCGGGTAACCCTCTCCCTGCTGACTGCTGAGTACGCGGTGAGGAGACGCACGGTGCGTCGAATCGTTGAAACCTGTCGCCGATGCCGTCGTTACCGATGCGTACCGTACCGATCACCTGAGGGAGCACTGCCCAACTTCAGAACACAGCCGAGCCGTCCATTTGCCAAAGTCGGTGTCGATTTTTTCGGCCCACTGTACGTTGATCAGAGCCAGGCGAAAGTGTGGGTGCTTTTGATAACATGTGCCACTTCCCGTGCGGTGCACTTAGAGCTTGTTCGCTCACAGGCCACCGCTGACGTGATCCTGGCGCTGAGACGGTTCTGCGCCATCCGAGGGACGCCAGCTCTGGTGTACAGCGACAACGCTCGGACGTTCCGGGCCTTGCTTGGCCACCTACCCCGGTCGGTAACGTGGAAGTTCATCCCTGAGGCTGCCCCCTGGTGGGGAGGGTACTGGGAGCGTTTGGTGGGCGTGACAAAGAAGGCTCTTCGCATCACCCTACATCAGTGCCACCTGACGTTTGAGGAGTTGTCTGCCACGATGTATGAGCTCGCTTTTTTCATAAACCTGCGCCCCCTCACCCAGGGCGATGGTGAAGATCTCCTTACCCCCGCCCACCTGCTGTTCGGCGTGACGAGCATAGACGGTGTCTTGTGCCCAACATTGAAAGAGTGTTCCATCAGCAGGGCCTGGCGTCACCAAAAGCGGGTCTGCGACCATCTGATCCGGCGGTGGTGTGATGAGTACCGCAACGCTCTCCGCTGCTGGAGCGTCTCGCCCCGTGGACGACCTAGCCGTACACCGCGCGTGGGAGACGTGGTGCTAGTCCACAGTGAGAGGCCGCGCGGCCGGTGGCCTGTGGCGCGAGTGACGCGGCTGCTGGCGGGACCGGACGGCCACGTGAGGGCCGCCGTCATCAGCCTGCGCGGGCGGAGCACTCGCCGCCCTGTCAGCCGCCTGTTCCTGCTGGAGGCGGCGGACTGAGTCGGACTGAGTCGTACCGGTGCAGTGATCGGGACGAGTTACGTCGCCGCGAACTATCGCAGAGTGCTGTGCCTTTTGTCGTATTCATCGTTCTGTTTGTTTTTCGAAATCGGTCGTGCGCTCGATTTCGAGTGGGGAGTGTGTTGTGATTAGTAGCCTCTTACCTTTTTTTACCTTCACCCGTGACCCGTGTTGATGTACCCTACCTTTCCTCACCCAGTAAAACTTTCCTCTATTTGCCCGCCCCTGTCCTGAATCCATCACTTTTTGTTAGTGATGTAATGCTTCCATTTTTCACCGAGCCGATTTCGTTTTGTTTTTATCCTTTCCAGTCAGTCTGGATCCATCTGTCGCCGTGTTACCGCTACCTGTAAAGTAATAAACCGGCAGAGAAGTTGACGTTGGAATTTCAAGTTGCTAACCAGAGGAATCGGCCTGTAATTTTAGCGTATCTACTACAGAGGCCCTCAAATGACCTGAACGGTCCCTTAGTTTGTCTGAGAGGGTCCTCCGTCGGCCTGACTGGGCCTCTGGAAGTGCAAGGGGGCCTTTTGTCGGTCTGAATGGCCCTTAGACGGCTTATATGACCCTCAGACGGCTTACGAGGCTCTCATGGGCTGTAGGGGCCTGTGACGGTCTGAAAAACCCTCATCCGACCTACGGGCCCTCAGACCGCCCTCAGAACCGGCTGGCGACTCTTTGAAGCTATTTGTGCCTATCTAACAGGGGCCCATGGACTGCTTACCTCCTCAGTTCTAACATTTTTTGTTAATAAATATTTTTCCTATATATTTGGACCCCCTCCAAAAAATATTGGATGCAACCCGATGGCTTTTTGGATTTTGAGGGGGCTATCGTGGGTCCCTGTGCGTTTGGCCCCCTCCTTGAGGAAATCCTGGCTACGCCCCTGAATATCGGGCAACCAGAAAACTTTTTTTGACCTTCAAACAGCATCCAGTTTGCTTAACCCTCGCATGTGTGCGGCGTTTGCCAGCTTCTAATGTGTAGGGGGGGGGGGGGGTCGGTTGGACCCCCCCTTGCCGTTTGGCCCCTGATCGAGCTAGAGCTTCGCGGAAAAAACGAGCGTGTTGCCCGTGACGAGAGGAAGCCGATGATACCCAATTTTAAGGTCCTAGGTCATTGGTTGACCTTCCAGGTCAGGTCAATGACCCAAAGTCGGGAAAATCGGGACCTGTTAGAAAGTCGTAAAGTGTGGCTGCTAAGGGGTTTTTCGGGGTGCTGATCACGAATATCGTGTTAGTTTTGATCACAGATGATGTCTTGAAGCATTTAGACCAGGTCGGGTCAGGTCAGGTCAGGTCAACCAGTAGGCGTCGTGACGGGTATTCGTAGTACGTGTCAACCGCCTCTGACAGCTTCGTAACATGTTACGAAGTCACCAAAACTACTTCGTAAATGTTCAAATGGTTGCTAAATTCGAATTCAGCTCCAAAAACTAGCCTAGAAACTTGTAAAACTCGAAAAAGTGAACCGAGGTCACCCGAGGTCACCAAAGGTCAATGACCTGACCTGACCTTCAGGTGACCTTGACACACACGGGAGTAACATCAATTAACATGTTTGAACGTTTGAAACCACGAAAAGCTTGCAAACACGCGGCTAATGCGAGCCGACATACGCGAAATCGCGATTCCGGCCAAACATGGTCTCGGAAAAGAGGTCACAGGTCAAAGGTCATTTGGGTCAGGGTCATGAAATTTTCAGGGTTGGTGTAAAATTGATCAATGCGAGGGTACTGAAAGTTTCGTCGCGATCGGCCGCTTTTTACGCGAGTTATTCGCGAAAAACCATGGGGGGGGGTCCATCCGACCCCCCCCCCCCTACACATGCGAGGGTTAAGACCGGAAAGGTAGTACCGGACGTCCGGCTGGGCCTTTATTTTTGCATTTGCTTCTGGGTGGGCAAATCGACGCCACTGGGTGGGCAATTGTGGTGACTGGGTGGGCATTTGCCCACCCAGTGGGTATGTTAGAGGAGGCCCTGTCAGAGGTCAATGTGGGTTCTCATCCCTCAATGTGGGCGCTTGACCGCCACTGAAGGGCCCTCCGAGATCAGTGTAGGACCCTCAAAGACTGGTATGGGAGCTGTTAATAGCTGGCGTGGGTTTCTTGAGCCTCGTGACAATCGAATAAGGGCCAGAGCCCCATACACCCATGGGGGCCCTGCCCATTGGTTGTTTGGGGGGGGCAAATGATATGATGGCCCCCTGATTAGCCTTTGGAGGGGGGGGGGAAGGGCATGGTCCTGATCCCCCTCTGCGACCGCCACTGCACTGAAAGTGCGAAGGGGGAGGGGCAGATACCCACAGACATTGCTGGCCCCCAGCCTGTTTGAACCGAGGCGGAGGCACGGTCACCCTGGCCCCCAGCTACTACGCCTGTGACGAACTATGCCGACTCCAAGCAGATCCGGTCAAGCGTTGGTCGTTTGTATACGCATTCTCCTGCACCTTACTACACCTTTTTAGGCTCAAGTTCGAATATGTTAAGTTCAAATTCGATTTTCGAATAAGTCAACTTCATATTGGAAGATGCCAAATACAAAATCGGATACCTCAAGGCTCAAGCTCAAATTGAGATATGCCAACATCAAATTGGAAGAAGTCAAATGCAATTTCGTCTTACTCAAGATCAAATTCGAATACGCCAAATTCAAATTAGAATAAGGCAACTTCAATTTCGTCTTGTATTAGTAGTGTTTGTTTATTTGTCATCATTTATCTACTATTATAAATCTTAAAAAGTTCCACGCCGCCGTCGGGGTTACTCCCTAAAAGGCTTATTACGGCGCCATCGATTGACGCACGAGGGTGAAATTTTCACGACTCGTGGGTCACGTCATTCAACAGGTCGTATTAAATTTTGGGCACGACGTGGCCGGGGGTGCGCCCGTGGCGCGTGCTCATGTGCGCCATAGGGTTAGCATTAGAATCGGCAAAAACAGGCTATTGCTCGGGAACGGTGAGGGCCACGGGGGTGAAATTTTCACGCCAAGTCGAGCGCGTGCTCTCATTTGTCGTATTAAATTTTCGACGGTGTGGGTTCAGCGGTGTGCACGTGCAGTGGGGCCGCGACCGGCGCCGAGCAGAAGGCACGTGCTTTAGGCTCAGTTGTTCGCTTAAAAACTGACTGGAAATAATCAGAGCCGGAAGGTCATTGACCTTTGACAACGAATACCGGCGCCGGGCACCGCTCGCCAAGGGGATTCCCCAGTAAATACGATAAATTTGTTTTTGCAATATCTCAGCCGTTTCTGGGCCGATTTAGCTGAAACTTGGACTGTCGGTGGTAGTGTAGGGTAGGGTAGGGTAGGGTAAGGTAGGGTAGGGTAGGGTAGGGTAGGGCAGGGGCGTCGTTTTGTATAGGCCTGGGAGTGCCCGAGCACTACCAATGTTCAGCTGAGCACTACCAATGTGTTGTTGAGCACTACCAACATTTTTCTTCACTTATTGAGAAAATTGCATTCAAACATGTCATACAAATAAAATGAATGAGGTTATTATGTATAAAATCAGCATGATAGCAAGTAACTTCAATGGTAAGTGGTAACTATTGATGAAAATCTATAGACTTACTCCACAAGTAGATTGAATTTGAATTGGTTGACCAATTCAATCTTCTTGTAGCGTACCTAAGTCCATAAATTTCCATCAATACCTAGGTATCATTTTCACTTTCCACATCATGTCATTACGTCAAGTAATTCCAAGTTATGTGGTACCTACCTACCTACCTACCTACCAAGTTTCACAATAGTCAGGGGCGTCGTTTTGTATAGGCCTGGTAGGGCCCGAGCCTTACCAATGTTTATTTGGGCCCTACCAATGTTCGCTGAGCCCTACCAATCTTTTGTCACTTATCAGTTGATAAAAAATCAAAATAAACAGATAAGCAAATATTAAATAAGCACATATGCAAGTACATAAATAAGGTTCTAGCCACAGTAGGTGCATGTAGTTGACAATGAGGTTTCACGTGTCTAGGACTCCGGTACTTAATGGATTTTAAGAGGCTCGAAAACGCAATTGGTTATAGAGGTCCATAACTGCCTCTGAGTCCCGCATACCACGCGACCGCCCCTAATAGACCCCGATCCGTCTCCACACCAGCCGCTGGAGGCCCTACACCGACTTCGGAAGGTGCCGCGGTGCTCCAGAATAGGCCATAGGTATATTGATTTGAGTGGGTGATGCAGCCTGATTCCCCAGGGTTCCACGCCAGGTCATTACCGCATCAGACCCCGAAAACTGAAGCTCGTAACTACGAGGGGCGTTCAAAAAGTTTCGGGCCGAACAATGAAGGAGTTGGAATTTTGGCCTGCAAGGCGGTGTGTTAAATGATGTGTTATTGGGATGTCCACTTACGCAAATTAAGTAAGTGGCCATTAATTAAGTCTCTTCTGTGAATGATTCGGGCTTCTATTCGTAGCATAGTTCGCCATTTCGGATAGGATGGGCGACGCCCAGAAGAGAGCAGTGATTCGTTTCATAGTAGTTAGTGCAGAAAAGGCACCAAGCGTTAACCCTCGCCCTGGGCATTTTTCATAACACGGCCTGGCAGGGGGGAGGGGTCGATGTGACCCCCCTCCGCTCGTCAACTTTCCAAAACAGGGGCACACAATTGATGATGTGCGTCCATTCGATAAACATCGAGGAGAGGCTATAGGGAAGCTGACGTAAAGTGTGCACCTGATCCGCGACCACGCACCTGCGTACATGGGCGGGATGACGAACAGTGAAGCGATGAGCTTCGAGTTGTTGTCGCATCCACTTTTTTCTCTCCGAACCTTGCACACTCTGGTTAGTGGTTGCCACCTCTTCCCCAACATAAGAAAATTAGCAGCGGCAACCTCGCTAACAGCAGGGAGACGAAATCAGCCGTCTTGGACGTGCAGGATGGGTCCAAAACCCACTTGGTTATGGAGGCCTTGAGGGCTCTCGCGAAGCGCTGCGCGAAATGTGTTTGTCTTAACGGTGTTTATTTGAATAAATGAACTTTTTGGTCTAATGAGTCGATGCTGTATCTCTCTGCTCCTTCATGGTCGGGCCCGTAGCTTTCTGAACGCCCCTCGTACTGTCATCCTTTTATTTTGACAAGCAGGTCTTTCTAACTATCGTCCAATCCTCGTTAGTTGTCGAACCCTTCAATTGGCGTGGGTCTTCAAAACCGTTCCTGGCCCCGCAGCCGTCTTTTTTAGTCGGCTTGGGCCCTCAAAGCTGTTCCTGTCCCCTTTCAGCACAGCCGTCCTTTTAAGTCGATGTGGGCCTCTTTCAGAATGGCATGCATTCCTCCGACATTATTGCCTATATAACTGCACGTTTTGTGCATGGCGTCTGGTGTGGACCCAGATTTCCAAAGTTTTTTTTTTTTTTAGATTTC